TAACACCCACAACCCACTCACTCACACACACGCACCCACACCCACATCCTCCAACTGAATACAGATTTTACAGTATATTCACTTGAATTCTCCTTTGAACGATGAATAGATACTCAAGATAGAATTATAAGTAGTATCTGGAAATAGAAATGGTTCTAGACAAAAGTGAACATTTCAGAGGGAGAAAAAAATACCGTCAGACTACGGTCTGAGAGGATTGGGGCATGGATTTAATTCAATCGTGGGAATCGACTGCGAGCTGTTGGCTTAAGTAAATCTTAGGACTTAAGAATGGAAAATAGAAAGGTCCGATCCTTTTACAAAATGGTCATCACAAACAATACTATAGACAGATTTTCGTCTGAGAGCGTGTTTTAACAGTAATTCTCAAAGCAGAACTCCGAAAACGATAATAGATGATTTCAAGCTTGAATTCAGTGGAGGATTAAGTAAGTCCTGCCGATGAGCGTTAGTTGTAAATAAATGTCTGATTTTTGTGAAGATCAACGATGATATTTGTAGCAGTTATATATCCACTATTACACACACGGTTACTGAATTTACTCAATTAATATGCTCATTTGAAGACAAACATCTGCAAATAACTTGTAAATGGAAATCGAGTCCATCGCTGCTGTGAAAATACTGAAAAACCCACTTTCATGGATAACTTGTACCATCAAAAAATCTACGCGCTAATAAATGTTTTCTTACAAGTCAGGAAGAAATGCTAGATGAAAATAAACACTGCCACGATGATCAACATGGCTGATTATCCCCATTTTGAGTTGAGTTTTATTCGAGCGCCATGAAAAAATGGCTTAGGCAGGCTTCAGAAAAATGCCTGTAACTCTTGAACGGTAAAAGCTAGAAACCTGGGGTTGGTGGCAAATGGTAGATAATCGTCTGCTTTATCAAATCTATGTTAAAAAATTCAATTCCGGACAGGTTTACAACGCTTAGGCGAATTGCTAAAGTTTCATAGGTAGGTGACCCCAAAACTCGGTGTGAAGTCCTTTTTTCGATATTTCCATATAAAGTTGATGCCGCTCTTTCCAAAACTGATAATCGCAGATCTCTAGCTGCTTCCTAGCCGGAGTTATTCAACACACAACTGAGTGCACTGTTCATTGACATGAATAGTACATCGACACACCCCACACCTACATCCTCAAAAATCAAGATCACAACTGGCTAAATCTATTATTCATTATGTGTGACACAGTTACTTGAAGCTATTCTGTTGAGAGATTGAAAGGAACGACTGAATTCTGAGCATGTATTGGTTGACGTGTTTTTTATTAATTATAATCCCTTTTTTTCCCAAAAATTAGGTTCATCTTTTATCACTCGAATTGGATCACCAACACGAATAGTACCGAAAACATTTCTTGTCTTATCAGCATCAGTTGGTGCCAAATCGATGCCGAACAAAGCTTTGTCACGGTACGTATCCGGCTTGAGACGATAACTGAATCGAAATACTTTCATTAATGATAATAGATAAGATTGAACTTCACCTTCGCAATGTTTTCCATGGCTCTTGATTCGGATCTTTAATACCAGTCTCTGGATCCACTGTTGGCACTAAGCATCTTTCAAACGCAATGGATATCGAAGAAAACACTTATTAAGGAACTGACCTTATACATGCCGTAATCCAAGTCAATTTGACTTCACCAACTTCAATTTCTCGCCAACAATCCTATGAAAAAAACAATACGTAATTCTCTTTTTTTTGCGGTTTGAAAAATAATGTCCTACCTCGGCATAAGGCTTATCGACATTTCCCACAACGATATTCGGCCTAAAATTGAACACTTGGATTTTTTTCTTGAGTCGTGTATTGAGATCAAAGACTGATTCTAAAGAACACAAATGCACTGGGCTCATATCATGATAAGCAACCACATCGCCATCACGAGCAATATTAGGCACTTCACAATTCTTGCATAGACGGCCTTCGAATTTTTGATCGTCAAATACAACTAAGTCGAGTTTATCTTCCATTTCGAAAAATGTTCGAAGCCAATGGGAAACATTATCATCATAGCGTAAACCAAGAACTGGATCATCCCAAAAACTATGTGAACATATTTATCTTTGAGATCTTTCTTTTCAAAACGGAATCACTTACTAACATTGCATCGATTCTTTTGGCAGTGGGTTGATAGAAATATGTAGGTCAGGCATATTAGGAGCTTGAAGACAGAGACCGTCTTTGACAAACGATGGTTGAATAAGTGCCATACGAGATAGAAAACGCTGTGATTGATGTCGGCCATCTTTAACTATCATCCATCGTCTAATAAAGAGGTTGTGAAAAAATGTTCGACCAATTTCATTAAAGAATTTACCTGTCAAATATTCGAGGATTCGATGGAAGAGCTAAACCATATTTTGTTACAAGTGCTTCTTGCACTTTGATACCAGCACATGATTTAACCGGGTAGATAAGTAATTCTTGCACATGCATTTTTCGTGCGAATAACTAAGAATACGAATGAAATGCTTCTCTCGAAACTGTATGTGTTTGTAAGTACAACAAGATAAGAAAGTGATTGTTTGGTGGACGTATATCAATAAACATTATTTTCTCTTCTTTTCTTTTTATCACGTAATCTCCTTTGAAGAAATCAAATTTGTGCTGTGTGTAATAGATTCTAAATAGGCTTTCACTTTTGATGACATTGTAGAGATGGGTGTGGGTCTGGGTATGAGTGGAGGGTGTGGTTGTGGGGTGTGGGTGAGGGTTTGAGTGTGAATGTGGGTGGGGTATGGCTGTGAATTTGGGTGTGGGTGCGCCTACACCCAAGCTCGTGGTTGTCGATTTGGTTTGATCGAATGTCTAATCAAAATTGGTTGTAATACTCAACGATGTAACTACAATGATCAATCGTTTTTCGACGTAATGCAATTGAAACAAAATAGAACTTTATTGAAAAAATTAATAGAACATAAAATCATTTGTATTGATAGTCTGACTGGATAGTGATAAGCTTCGAAAGAAGTGATCCAAATGATGGAGCTCATCTTTTCTTGGGTTTGTTCTCGTACAATTATTTTAATAGCGTAGAAAGCAATACTATTTTGAGTCCTGAAGTAAATTTCTTTAGCATATTTGGTGTGCATTGTCCCGAGGATGCGTGTGGGTATGGCGCGTGCGGATGTAGGTGTGAGACATGGGAAGAAGAACGCTAACATGTACATACTGACACCAACATCCGTACTGACCCCGCACATCCGCTACCCACACCCTTCTATACAGAACACAGTGTTAGCCGAATATCAGATATACCAGTTATGAAGCAGTTGTGTGAAGCAGATCAAACAGTCGGCCGACATCAACTAACAATAAACCTAATCAGTATCAGTAAAGACCGATTGACAGTTTGAAAGAATAGCTCCATACAAATGAAGAAGTCTTTCGACCCGCTGCGTCGTTTTTATGTTTCTTTGTAGTATATAGATAGGGTTTAAAAAGTATTTTCAAATGTAAGAGAATTTGTACACTTACGCCTCGAGGACTCAGTTAAGACCTCTTTACTATGCCTTTAGTAAATAGCCAAGAGTAGCCAAGAAAATCGAATGAAAGAATTTTAAGGTGAGCTTTAATCTACCTAAATGTCTCATGATCATTAAAGTCTGTCGAAAGTTTGCTTTGAAATGATTATCACCCACTTCAGATATTCGAACGACAAAGAAGATAATCTTGTCAAAAACTTTGCAGCATAATCTAGCTGAGATTAAAATGTGGAGCACTATAGATTCGTTCCACTCATTTAGAAGAAACCTATCAGCATCGATCATTATAATACTCTGAAGCTTTGCCGATTCTCTCTATCTGTCACGGTCTCTGTGTGGGAACGAGAAGGGAACAAGTATTCATTTTCTCACTACATACTTCAATACTTATTACTGATTGCGCTTCACAAAAAGAAGGCTTGAGAGAAGAGGCATTGCAACATTACTGGAAAGAAAATGACAGTTCATGGCGCAAAAATTGTCACCTTGGAACGATCATGTGGTGGGAGTGTGCACATGGCTTGTTTTTGTTTCTCCCACAGTTCACCCACATCTGCACTCTGATCCTTCCTCAAACAGTCAGATTTTTTAGGTACAGGATCAAAGTCACACTGAATCGTTAATCTGTTTCTTAGCTATATTGATGGTCGATATCAGCTCTTCACTTTTCATTGAAAAAATGAACAGAATTCAAAGGTTGTAAACATGTGCTAGCTGATCTTCGAAATCGAAGGTCTGTCTGACTAAAGCTTCTGATACATTTTTCGATCATCTATTCATACACTCACGTGCTTATCTCCCCGTTTATCTTTCGATCTCTCGAATATAGGCTTCACTACACGTTTCTGATCTAAAAGGGAATCTTAAAAGTCATACGAACCCAACTGATCCACTAAAGTTTGAATCATTGTACTGCATCGTACCACAAAATCAGAAATGTAGGCAGTCTGCTGTCGTTGCTACGAATACATGAAACCTTGAGGAAGATAGAATATGAGTGTATGGGTGTGGGGGTGGTTGAACTGAAGATCCGCATCTACGCCCAATAATAAGAAAGGAGGAGGTGGCTCGGTTTCTTAAAGAGTATGACACTCGTAAAAATTGATTGATAGAGCATGGAATGTCTTTTAAATAAGTTGAAAATCAAGTATACTCACATACCAAATGACACTGCAATGTATAAGTTATGTTTTGTGCGTTTTCGCAACAAGCTTTGCTACGTATTTATCGATGACAAAATTGCTTGTTTTTTTTTTCAACTTGCGTTTGTTGATATGCGATAATGGAGCATGAAATTTTCATCAGATAGGTGGTCGATTTCGTAATAATACACTTATCATTGCACGTGTTCGCTATTTTCACCATGTTCTCTCCCTAAACACCTTTTTTTTTCTTTTGCATTACGTGTCACTATACCAAGAAAATGTCCCAAGTGAGCTAGTTACGAGCTAAATGTCGAATATTTTTTCTAGTAATGTCGATGAAACATGTCTAGTCTTTGTTAAGGAAACATTCTTCCTTATGAACTATATATGTGTATGTTCATTTTCTTTCTCTTTCTCTTATATGTATCTGTTAGTTTAGTTCTTCTTGCTCAATTGAAATTGTTCGTTCATTTCTATTTTCTCACGGTCAATAAACATCGATATTGACCTTGTCTTTTTATTCTTTTGCGAATTAATCTTTCTATCGCATAGCTTATAATACGTGATAGTTGTTATCATCATATATATACATATGCACTTCTTTCATTGTATTCAGAATGGTTATTGCTGGCATTCTCTTCTTGATTCTTTCCTTCTTTCGTGTTTTCTTCTTCATTATTGAAATAAAATTGAACTCAGTTCAACAAAAACACAAAACTTACAGTCTTTGTCTTAAAAAATCCTCGTTCAGGACTAGTCTGAAGCCTGCTGCGTCCTTGTATCCTGTCCATATCCCGTCATTGACTAGCGCCATTGGCCATGTAAAATTTGAGACCCAAAAAAGTAACTATTAAGTACTTTCTGCTTCAGTAAGGAAAGTATAAACAATGACTGATAAGTGAACCTTTTTAAATAACTATAAGTATACTTATAAGTAAAACATAGTTTTTATTACTTCTAAAAGAAGAGATGTAAGTACTTTTTACTTATAAGTATACTGATAGTTACTGAAAAAGATTCACTTATTGGTGAATTTTCTACTTTACATGGACTAACAGAAAGTACTTAATAATGAGGGTGTGCCTGTGGATGTGGGTGTGAGGCATCTGCATGAGTGTATTTGTATAAGATACCCACCCCATACCCACAGAGAGGTAGCTAATTTTTTTGAAGACATGCGTTGGAAAGCGGTCGTTTTTGGGGCATCGTAGTACTGACCGCCTGCGGTTTTACGGTTACATGTTGTACATACTTTATTCATATGGTTTTGTAGAGAATTTAACGAGGAATCTTTTTTGAGGCTAAGCTCAAGTCTCTACGATGAAAAATTGACAGAGATATTGTTAAAATATTGACGATACTATTATTTATGCCGCACCCAATGTAATAGCCAAACATAAGCAGATCCATTTTTATATCAACACATTGCAGTCAAAATCAGTATCGTGAACGTGATAGGGCATACTTAGGGCGTACCAAAAGTTCGTGTCCCGCTATTTAAAGGGCCTCATCGGATGGGTGAACCGATTCAGAAATAAGAAACAAATATATCATCTTGTAGAGCTTTTCGAGCCGCATCGAATGGTATATAGTAAATTCTGTTTTCATAGAACTTTGAAGGACCTAGAGACAATTTACTGACGGACGACTACACATTCACACCCATCCACACTCACGTCTACATTCACAAGATGACCGGAGATGGTACGTATATGAGGTTGTAGCCCGTCAAAACCTCTACAAAGTCGCATGCGAGAAACAATATTTTACAAATGCTTTCAATTAATAACAAGAACCACAATAATCATTAACTTATGGTCCTCGGGTATGAATACCGATATGGATGGATGTGAATGTGTAGCCATCTATCAGCAAATTGACTCTAGGTTCTTCAAAGTTCTATGAAAACAGAATTTACTATATACCATTCTATCCGGCTCGAAAAGCTCTACAAGATGATATGTTTGTTTCTTATTTCTGAATCGGTTCACCCCATCCGACGAGGCCCTTTAAATAGCGGGATACGAACTTTTGGTACGCCCTAAGTAGACCAGAATAGGAAGCAAAGGTAGTAGTCTGTGAGTCTTCAGTGCAGCTAGATTTTTTAAAGAAAATATTGATGTTCTACATCAAACAAGGATATTACATTGTTAATAGACCTGGTCTCATTGATATAACGCACAAAAATATGGATTTTCAATAAATTACGTGATTCTTGAGTGGCCTCTTCGCTTCGTTGAATTATTATGGGTCGAAATTTCTTAACCTCAAACCGCCTCTTAAATGTTCTACTTGATACTTGAATGACTGTTCCTTTTTGTATCTCCAGATCGAGATATCTACCAACTTTGCTTCTAGACATGATTGTACGACACTATGCAATTGCACATCATTTTAATTTCTCGAGGAAAAAAATTGTTCAGTAGCAACGGTGCGATACGCGGTTGATGAGAAAAGAATTTGCGCGACACTGTTCGATGCGTTGCCTAACGGAAAAAAATTTACACTGTACTGTGTTGCGTGGTCGTGTGCGGTATCGCACTGCAGCATACGGCCACGCATGTCGGTCCCTGATGCGCATATGCTAAATGTTTTATGAAAAAATTGATTCGACGTTTTCAGATAAGACAATAGTGCATCTTTACATTTTTTTCGACAGGACTATGAACTTCACAAGAATCAAATGTTGCCAACGGATGTTCATTTTGCTGTTAGTCAACACAGTATTCATAGTTTGTCTATATCTTCGTTTCGATGTGAGTAGAGAACATGGTGATAGCTGCAATCGGATCAATGTGAACATGAC